GCAGGAATTACATCAGTTCTCCCTTCTGAAATGTCTCACCTGGTAGGCAGCTGTACAGCAAGATGAGGAGAAATGCTCCAAGCCAGATTTACATTATCCTTCCATTGCTTCTCACTAAGACTGATATACTTGGACCTCCAGTTTGCTACACTGCTCTCTCCAGTTTGATCCAATTCTAGCTCAGGGGAAGACAGTGGATTGTACCATGTGATTAAGCGTTCAATCTCAGTAGCCTGAGGGAAACAGAAAAAAAAAGTGTTTTCTGGAAGAAGTAAAAACACACCCAGTTTTATACTTTAGTTTACACATCCTGCAACAAGAGGGTCTTAGAAATTCATGCAGCTTCCCCATTCTTCTGATGACTCACCAGCAACGAGAGCAGTAATGTTCTTCGCTTCATGTAGTACTTGTGCAGCTGCGTACCTCTGTTAGTCTTCTTAGACATCCCTTGATAAAAGGATAAAATGTTTTCAGTGGCTTTTGTTAGTGTATGTTAAATGCTGCTTTCAAAATGTTCACACCTGGCAACATTAACCCATAAGGACTGAATAACCACAGGACACTTGTGAATTTAGATAATCCTCTGAGTATATGGAGTAAAACAGGCTACAGGGTATCAATTTAGCCAGTATTGCATTCACTTTAGAAACACAACAGCCTACTGAATAAAAAGAGCACATAGTTTATGACTGTACAGAAGCACAGTCCACAATCTAATGTCGCTCTGCTGCCCCTCAAAAGCACTAGGGACATGTTTGCACAAACAAAGCAATCTCCTTACAGTATTTCAATATACCTTGACCTCCAGTCTTACTACTTCTGCATTACAGAATTGAACATTCTATCAAATAAATCAGATAATTTCAAAACTTTACTGCTTGGTACCAGTGAGACTTTTTCCATTCCCTTTCCAGAGTCTGGCACTGGTAATTAAATACCCTGCCTGAAAAACAAGAGCCTGATTTTAAAGGTAAATATTGACTTTAAGCAACATCTGCATATAAAGTATGCTCTAAAGTTGGCTGCAACCAGCTGGTTACAATAAAAAAGATACCTGATTTTTTAGATATGGTTGACATGCCACTGGACAAAGGGTAAGTATTTATCCATCCTTGTGTAGCCTGTTGCCGAGATCCAACGTTGATATCCAGGTTGCTCCTGGTGTCTTGATTATCTAACAGAGCACAGATCTGATGAAGAATCCAATCAAAGAAAGAATAGGTTTTGAAACAGCACATAAAGGAACTCACCAGGTGGCACAAGCTGGCTGGCTGTCAGATACTTCTTGTCCGAGAACATCGCTGTCCAAAACTTGATCAATATGCTGATATCCTCACGAAGCCTCTTTTCCCCTTGTGTATGGAACTTTGAAGGACAACTTAAAGAGATTATACAAATAATGTGAAGTTGAATGTACTGGAGAAAAAAACAAACAAACAAAAGTCACACAAATCAAGTTCTATTTTTCATTCTGACCAGTAGCTACAAGGATGAGACAACATATTGTCACATTTTATCCCTATTGCTTTATTCTGACTGAAGAGTACAAACTTCCCATTATAATTGAAAATTAAGCAGCAGTTTGTCAGCATCTTGGATTCATTTGAAATTTAATATTATGACTGACTGATCTCTTCACATTCAGGCATTCCTATCAATTATACTATTTTCTTTTGTGCCCATGTCAAATGCCAAAAATCATCAGATTCAGTGTATTTTCAAAATAGTGAAACTAAATTTCAGTTGCACACTCTGTAACAGCAATTATTTAAATCTTATAAATCTAGGTACCATTTTGAGCACTGAATAAACTCCAAAATAAGGAAAGAAAGAAAACATTCCTGAAGGTTACTATGTTATAAACCACACATAACTTAGATGTAAGTCTCTTTGAGATAGTTTATGAACTAAACAAAAGCACAAGGAAAATAAAAGTTTCTGTTCAAATGGGCAAAAAAAGGAAGAAGTCAAATCACTAGAATAGAAAGACAGCTGCTGCCTTGATGTATCATGGGAGGTTGAGGAAATCATACACATGCTTTCAGTGAGTAGTTACAAAGAAAAAGGTACCTGAAATAATCAAAGGCAGTTGAATAAATCTTTTCTCTCAGAACGTTTCGAATAGTTGCATTTGGAACCACATCAGCATGCAGCAAAGATAACCCCAGAGTCAGCAACCTAATAAGCAAAATAGTTAAACACTGAAAATTCCAGCATTTCAAAGATGGTGACCAATGCAACACCGCAGCTGTAACACTACTCAACTCACCGAAATTCCTTTCAACAGAATTTTTACCACTTGAAGCCAAGGACAAGTTATACATTTAGCGTACAGGTTTTTTTCTCCCAACCCTCTAGAACCTTACATCTTCCACCAAGTAAAAAAAAGACAAAACAAAACAAAATCTACTCACTTAAATCGGGGTCCAATTGCTGCCACATGCCGATTCAAACTGCCTTTTGCCCCTCCAATGTTCAATGAAAGCGACCGCTGAAGCAGGCTGGAGAAGATTTCTATCTGGTCAGAACTGCAGTACTTGGCTATTTCAAATCTCTGCACCAAAAACTGAGAAAGAGAGACAGACGTGCCATGTCTCCTTTGACCTTTTTTCATCTCAAAAAACCCCAGTCTTTTCTGTTTCAAACACCTTTCTCCCCCTTAATTACTATGTTCATCTAGAAACAGTGTGTCCCTTGACTTTGAGGCAGAGGGACTTCCATCCTGACTTCAGTCCTTTCCTGAATCACGAGAACAAGTACTGCAAAGTAGTTCAATCACAGCAGCACTACAGCACTGCCACAGGTGGGTCGTTCCAGAAGAGACACATACCTCTATCCAGATGTAATGTGGAGTCACCTCTGGCGGGCAAGGCCTCGGCTGGCTCTCTTCTGAGGCTGCTAATGGATCTGCTTCTTTCTGCTCAGCAGAAAACAGGCCAACTTTCTGCTCCACTGTCATTTGCCAGGCTCCTGCCATTTCCCGCATGAACTGCAAAAAGGAAGGTATCAGTGTTTCTCGTTTCAAAAGCATCTTCTTACATGGAAAGCACATTCTCCATAGTGCACAAAAAAAATCTAATGCATCAAAAAAATTCACTGCAATGTTAACAGAGAGGCAAAGACAGGTCTATGCATCCCTCCTGAAATAAAATGTTTCTTTCACATCCTAAATCATGAAGGGGGAAAAGACTCCTCCAGAAGCTCAGCCAGTAAGAAAGACTAAGGGCAACAGCGGACAAGTGCTGTATTTTGTTGAGGAGACTGAGCTGTTAGATCAGCTGGTGCCATCCATCCTTCCCCTCTACTAAAGTTTACTGCCTCCAACACCAGGACAGCAGAGACAAGCGTATGCCAGGCTCTCACATAGTGCAGGACGCAGTTTGGCCCATGAGCACACACAGCTGATGAAGTGCACACTGTAAAGATGTCACATAATTCACTTTTGCTGAACCTGCCCTAGGGAGCATCTAGTAAAAAGGAAGCCCAGCAACCAACAGTGCTTATCTGATCTCCTCAATAAGATACAAAGAAATTTCCCAGAAGCCTAAGAGAAAAAAATTAAACCAATGCAGTAATTGACCTAGGTAAATTTAGATGGATTATTATCTCCAGCAAATGAAACACTTAGTGCTCACTAACTGCAGCAATTACCAGAGGCAGCCTTCTCAGCTCTGTGTGGCCTGTCACACCACCATGCCGAGTTGCTGTATTACTATCAAATTCATCCCCACCTCACAAAATACAGCCGGTCTAGCCTGTTACATGATTAGGACATTTGCAAGCCTATTTTTTATGCTAGAGTGCAAGGCCAGATACCAGAGGCTCTGATTGATGAGCAGGGATATTGATTTCTATTTGTTTTAAAACACCACTCTAAATTGTGGTAGTTTAGAACCTGATTCATGAGCAGCTGAGGCACCTCAGTAGCAAAGTAAATCGTACAGCTGAGTTCCTAACAGACTTCCTTTGCTGTACCATTGCTGCTGCTAAGAAAGATTAATTTCCCACAGTCCACCTCAAGAGGGTTCTCAGACTTGTACTAATACATGAGGAGGTTAAAGCGATTAACAATGCATTTAACGTCCTTATTAGACACAGATTTACAATAGCTGTGAATCTATAAAAATTTTCTCTTCCCTCCTTGCAGGGACAGAGAAAAGTTGCTAAATTGCTTCCTACCGGCACTTCTATTCCATTCTTGGCAGCAAGCAGCCACTCCCAGCAAGCAATTGCTGTTTCCATGCCATGTTCATTGAACATTCGCAGGGGTCCCCAACACAGATGATGAAGGAGCTGGGGATCACAGTCTGAAAACAAACATTCACTCAGATTTCTCCAACAGAATAAACAAATGCTTTTCACATCCACATGAACTTGGTGCACACAGTATGTAATAGTCAATTCCTAATAAATAGCTTCTAGTTCAAGAAGGCGTTTCCCCAATATAAGCCTAATTGAAAGAACTCAAAACACAATTTTACTTCAAGCTGATGCTTACTAGTTTTGTATATGGTTTGTTTTCATAGTTTTTTTACTCTTGGCATTCACAGCAAGGAAGGAGAACTCTTTTTCATTACCTTTGCTGCTTATCAGCAGTGCAGTCAACTTAAACATGGCTTGGGTGTAGAATTCAGTATGGCCTGATTCAAGAGCATCATTCAGCTCTTTGACCATCAGTTTATTCAGGTCAGATGTTCGTCCTGTAGCATTTGAGAACTGAATCATTCCAGCAACCTGTAAAATGTAATGGGTTTTTCAATAGAGAACAGTATTGTTAGGAATTTAGTTTGGTATTGGTCATGTGCTGATTAAGCATCTCCAAAAACAGAGACATCTTTTGTTATGACTTTGTTAAATCTTTAGCTTGATCTGCAATCTAAGAACTCTCTGAAAACCAACAGTAAAATGAGCTGCTTAATTACATTAATTACCCTTTATCTTGAATGAATTTAAGTTCAGAGTCTGTGCTTAAAAAAGCACAGAACCATACAATAATTTAGGTTGGAAAAGCCTTTTCAGCCATGGCTGAAAAGCCATGCCAGAGCTCGTGGACACTCCACACTCATGAGAAATCCTCTACTTACCTCTCCTGCGTAGCGGTTGCGCAAGTTAAGAGAAGCCATGAAGTTGGAGTAATCCTTCTTCACACAAGTAGGTCTTTCAGTCAGCTGGGTTGCCTATGACCAGACCACATACAGGTGTTTATACTGTTCATATCCAACCATTTGTCTTTTTTTCTATGTATACTTTCACATATGTTCTAAGTTTAGTTTTCCTTATGCTTATAATCAGAATAGCACCAGGGCTATCAAGTATAACAGTACCAGGACAGATAATGAAATAAGGAACATATACATTAATGCCATGAATACAGTTTGAAATATATACATATCTGTATGTACTTTTTGAAAGACCAATAAAAAAAACAACAAAAAAAAGCATAAAAACTGTAGAATCTCTGGGACTGCTGCTCCCTTGTCATGAACGGGTAAGGAAGAGGACAGAGGAGTAGATGTGGTCTTGGTTCTACCCCCTCCACACAACTGCTTGGTGAACTGACAGTAATGCAGAAGAGAGAGGATCTTGTTCCTGTTTTTAAAAAGTGCACTAATAATCCATGTTCCTCTTTGCAGGAGCACTCATGAATTTGTGACTCAGGTTTCTCCTCAAAAAAACAAACAAAAATCTGAACGATTCTTTATACTGTAAATGAGTATTTTTTTATATTGAGGATTTAATACTCAAATACAAGGCCAGCAAAACAATCAAAATTTCCACTCTCTTACTTCAGTACTGCTAATGGTTAGCTTGGCTCAGCAACAGATAAACTGCTGAGAACTATTCTTATGTGTCTTGGATATAAAACTTGCCTACTACCATCTTTGCATTAGCAATATCCAGTCCACAGGAATAAAGCAAGAGGAAAAGCAAACTGCTAGAAATCTGAAAACTTTCTGAAAGAACTTTTATCACTTGTTTGACATGCAGGAGGGCCCTGATAAAAATAAATACTTATAACACACTAAGAAAATGAGGAAGTTGAGTTGTTTCTCTTATTTCCTTTCCAATTTTAAAGTTTCTGCCAGCACAGTCTCTATTCTATCAAGTTTTGTTCACCTTGCCCCTTTAGGGAACTACATGACTGCACTCCTGAGTGCTGGCAGAGTTCTTTTTCCTATTTACATTCAGTGACTAGTGCTGGCTAGAAAGAGGACTGTAACAGAGAACCAAAAGAAAATCCTGCTCAAGCTGGGTGTGGAGGCAGTTTCAGAGCTGCTGCTAGAAAACAAGCTGGCTGATGATACAATGGTTTCTACTGGATGCTGCTCCAGGAAACCAGAAATTACAATCACAAAGGAGAAAATATGAACTGCAACAAACTGCATATAAATGCATGAAATGCTTAGTAAAAAAGCATGTTTTGAATGAACCTATGTAAAACTCTGAGCAAACAGTTGTCAACCGACACTCACCTACATTACTGTTCTAGAAAGCAGCTGATTTAAAGTCTTACACAAAGATACTACGTTCAAATAATTAAAAATATAGTGTTATTTTCTTGCTTGTTACTATCTTACTTTTCAGTATTTTACAGAACATGATTGGAAGGTACTTTGATTTGAGATGGAAAGAAAGAAGGTATCTTTCTGTGCAATGTTTAAGTGCTATGACAAAAGCGACTTGGAAAGTCTGTATTACGTCGCAATACTGGATGTCCTAAAATTAACATGACAGTTATACAGCAGCACAAACGAATGAACAAAAAGAACTGCGCCCAGTACTCACGCCCAGAGTGGTGTTCTGTCTGTTGTAGCCTGCAAAGTGCAGAACGCTTTCTGTAGCCATAGCCAGTCCTGTGTGCTGGGACAAACCTGACACCCAGTTCTGATGCTTGTTGAGGTACTCCTGACCAAAGGGGGGAAAAAAAAAAAGAAGTGTTTGTTGGAAATCTACTGTGTTTTTTCAAAACAAAGCAGCTCTTAAGCAAGTGTTGCCTCATTGCAAACTACCAGAAACTTAATGACGCACATACCTGACAAAAAACAGACTGTCTCTACTCATCCCTTTTAGGCACTGTTCCCCGGGCAATAAGAAACTCTGAATGTCCTCCTAAATACGTAAAGAGTAAGACTCGTTCCATTTTGTAAAAAGATAAAGCGGTAAGATAGATATTTGTAGGTTGAGGTCTTCTTTAAAAAGAATCACTTTTCACAAAAAGAACCTTAGCAAAGGAAGCGCTTTGGACTCCACGGAAGAAGAGAATATAATCAGTTATCCTTTTACATAAGGATAGAATCCCTTGAGGTTCTTTTTTAAGGGAAGGAAATATAAACGTCAGGTAGAGTTGCAGCAGGATCTTGAGCCTCCTCAGATATTCTGTTATCAGCACTAAGTTAGGCAACTCTACATAGAATATCAGTCTAACCTGACTCTGTAGTCTCTTAAACTATTCAATAAGGATTAATAGACCTACATTTTACTACAGTGAGACTTCTTGTTTACATAAAAGCTATTTTATGTATTTTAGTAGTACATCATAAATAGTCTTTTATAACCTTTGCTTGCGGTGTTATGACTGCTTTCTACTGAATTCTGCCACATGTGACCATTCACTACACCCATGCTCAAACTAAAGTCTGCAGTTTACAGTGGTCTCGTGTATCAGCAGCGCTTCTCCATATTTAAAAACACAGCAAAACAAAAATACAACCATAAATACAGAAAAAATTCTCTCAAGAGGGAAACAAGTTTTTCATCCTAATCATATGTTTCAGTCCAGCTGATATTTTCAGCTAATGTGCCAGCATTAAACAAACTTTGCTAGGCAGATGATTCTGTTACACCAAATTCTGAGTTTTAAAGTAAATCCAGGATGATCAACAGTTCACAAACCTGTTATTTTCCAGATACTCAGGTTTGGACTACATAAAAAGTCACATCAAATAAAAAATTCTAATTATTTTCTGTCAGCGCTATAAACAAAATCTTAGAGCCACAGAAAATTTAAAATGATGCTTGGATAGAGTAAAAAATAAACACCAGCACAAAATTTAATTCCAATTTTGAAGATCGAGTAAAATTTTCACAGAAGCAGCTCATTACCTGTAGATGAGATTTTGTCACAGAGGGAGCCCATTTCATTGCTTCTTGCAGAATCATCCCACAGCGTGCAGCAAAATCCTTGACTATGCTCTAGAATTGGAAAGCATCAGTGCAATCAGTAAAACACAGGACATTTAACAAGAGGCACTGCTTTTAATGGCGTAAGCAACATAGGAAGTAAGGCAGGTTGCAGCAATATGACATGGTTAAAATTATCTGTCACAATTAAATGTACCCTTGCTAAGCAAAGAACTGTCACGCTGCAAGTGAAGTAAAATAACAAGATTCAGAAAAACAAATACCAAGTGTGATAACCTTGTTGTCTGATAAATCAAGGAAGATCACCTACCTCTCTAGCTTCATGTGTGTCAGGGACAGTTATTCTATATGGAGCATCAGGAATGTCATAGTATGGTTGGTCCTTGTGAATGTCCTAAATAAAAACAATTATCAATTCTCAATAAGATAAATTTTATCATCACTTAACTTGAAGAGTACAGGTAGCACTCTCCTCAAACAGGAATTCTGATTTACCAAACACTTTTGCTAGTATTTGCTCTCGAAGTCAACCTGAAAAGCTCCAAAGATCAGGTTTTATTCCAGTTTCATTTTCTGCATGAATAATTTTAAAAAATCAAAAGCCTTCTCCTCAACATTTAGTACACAAATGTAACTCTATAAAGCACTTCCATGTTAATAAATCCAAGGTGTACAGATACATCTACACAGAATGGAAAGACAATAATCTGACAACCATAATTCATAAAAACAAAACAAAACAAAACAAAAGCACCACCACCAAACTTTTATTTCAAATGAGACAGTTCAACAGTTACAACCCACGATGGGTAATGCTGCGTTATATCCTTGGTGCTAAATTTGACTTTCTGAACCACATTTGACAACTCTCTAGCACTCGCTTTACTACCTATTCTTCACAGAATTTAAAATAAGGATTTTTATCAGAGTGATGATAGCAAAAACAAATCAAGATGCAAATAAGTATCAAATAGGTGCAAAACAAAGCGAAAAATTCAGTTCTACTAAAGAAAAATGGAAATATACATTTTATTTCCCTAACAGTACTACTAAAAAAGGAACTTACTGCACTAAGAGACAGTGACAGCGTCTGCAGAATATCTAGCATAGTCTTCAGCACAGTTCCACTCCACAGCAAGTGAGGAAACCTACAGCAAGACAGAATTCAGAAACACAATAACCGTGGAGAGCTGAGGAAGGAAATTATTTTATCAAGAAATGGAGCTGCTCAAAGAGCTAGCTATACACATCACGAGGTAAGCTCACATTCAACAGAAGTCACGATGCTTGCCATGCCTCACAACCGCCCAGCTCAATACAGAGGCCAAAGCTCTCTAAGAGCAAGCAAAGTAGAGCTGTTTCATAGGAACTGAGATTGCATTTATTTCACACGCACTTTGCTTTGCTCTCTCCATGGGAATATGAAGCAGACACAGGCATTTTAAGCCGGGGTTTCAGAGCCCAGGTTAAAAATACTATTGAATGTTATTTTTCTAGGAGATGTTTCAGCAGAAGTACCAGCCAAGAAATCCACTTGACTGTTGTCATCAGTTGCATAAGTAATCCCTAAACAATGTGGAAAGAACAGGAAAATGAAATCTATACTCACTTGTCTACCAGACCAGATAAGTATTTGTCTGCAACTCTCCTAATCCTCTTGTGAATGTGGTTAAAATTCACCAGCAAGAACTGAGCATGTCGCTCCAGCTCTTCTTCGTTCTCCTTAGTTTTAGGCTAAAATCATGCAAAAAGATGTATGAAGCTCTTAAGAAAAAGGGCAAACACACCTTCATAAACTGAAATCAGAACATTTATACAAATCTGAATTGTAGCTTCCATGTAACCTACTTTATCAGCCATCATTGTCAGGAAAGCTTCAAACACCTTATCAGCAACAGCTATCACACACTGCATCATGCCTGAGGAATTGAGAGAAGTGACAAGTTTGATTATCAGAATTATGTTTGCTTTATAAGTCATGTTTAGTAGTTAAAAGGTGTTTAAGTTTTACTCAGCCAACACTGAACCAAACTGTTTCAAAACAAAACTAGTGCTCTTGGCCAGACTAAAGCAACAGCACAGTGAATGTGATTAATTTTGTTAAACAGTTGTTTGATCTGTTTTAGTTTTGCATGCCTAGAAATAACTTCCTAGTATCTCAAGCTGCAAGACAGCCTAAAACAGGTAATCTTACCAGATTTGTCTTTCTGAATTGCTTTATCCTCAAAATAGCAAAACATGACTTGGAAGCGATCTTGGTCAGTTGAACGCAACACCCTAGGAAAAGAAGAGTTTTGTGGGTTGGGTTGTTCTTAGTTTTTTGTCTTAGTGTGGGCTTTTTTATTATTTTTAAAATGTTCCTCTTCTTTTAAACGTCTTTAACACAAACCTACGTACTTTAATCCCACAGTACACATCACACACACACGGTCATTGTTCGTGTCATGATAATTTTAAGTCTCTAGTGTGATATTGCTGTTTGTTTCTACATTGAGCTAACAGGGCTCGGATCATAAAAAGCCTGTTCGTCACAGAGAGTAACTTTCACACCTCAGAGTGAGAAACCTGACAATGCACTTATACAATCACCACAAACATACAAACACAGTACAATTGTGGCATTTCTATGGGCTTTGCATTTGTTGAATTTCCGTATGATGGAAATATCACTTATTAAAAAATAATGGTTTCTAAAATACAGTCAAGACATTTCTGGAAATGGTCATCCCTGGTGTCAATTATTATCAAAGCCAAAACGTGATGGAGAAGTTTCTTCCTACTCTCCTCAGTGCTAGACATCTCCACCTCAGCTTTCAGCTGTACGCTTCTTTGAATAGATTAAATACATTTTTAAAGAAAAAAACAACAAAGCCAACAAAAACAAAAGTCTGTGAATTCAGCAGGTTTGATTAGTACAACCCAACGCAAACGAATGAGAGCAAAAGTAAAGTACGCTCAAAAAAAATTTCTCAGCTCCTATATTACATTAATTTTGCACAATAGGCAAATGTCTACGCTGTCCTTCAGAGGTGCAAGCCCAAGACTCTGCAAAGGATACATTACACTTGAAAGATGTTCCTTTGAAGAACCCTTTTGTCCATCTTCTATTAGTTCCTATACAGAGGAGATCTCAATTTTCAGTCCCTACTATATTATTCCATCCTTTTCCTCTACCTTAAAGGTATTTTTGCACAAATGAATTCTCAGTCTCGGAACGTTCGATACAGCTAATGTGACTCAAAATACCATTTCTCGTTTATCTTAGTGTGTGGCTATTCTGACTTGAATATACAGAATTGGTTTTTGTTGTTTGGTTTTGTTTTGTTTTTTTAAATTCATCAGTGAAAAAAGTCTATACATACCTCATATACTCTAGGCGGTAAACAGAAAGGAGATAGGTAGACATGGCAAAGTCCAACTTATTGATCAATGCTGACACTTCCGGAGGAGGATCCAAGAGATTTATTATGGTACTCCGCAATTCATTTAATTCAGCCTAGAGATGAATACATGAAGTTATCTGAAGTGCGAGTACTGTAATAGTTTGATTTCTGAAAACATTTGCTTTCAGTTGTTACTCTGTTTACTTTTTAACCTTTACAAACAATATGTCAGGATGCTTCTGTCCTGCAGACTAAGACCAACCTGCTCTGACTCTGCAAGTCATGATTCTTCAAATACAGAATTAAACAGAATTAAATACTGGAGTCAACCTCCCTGCTGAAATAACTGCTACTTTTCATGCAGTTATACGAATGAAGAAATACAAATCCAACACTAAATGACTGTAAGGTTGACTAACATCACTGTTCAGCTTCTGAAACTTCATGGGTCTGTTGTGCCATTTTTTGATGACACAGAATTAAACATCTAGGCACAACGCAGATTTCTGTATTATCTGGGAGCCAAGCAAAGACATTTCATAGCCTGCAACTGTTCAATCTACACTGCTACCACAAATAGTGCTCAGGTAAAATCTATCCTGCAACAGTAGGGAGAGAGAAGTATACCAGTACCAAGCCAGATGATAAAAAAGGAGAAAGCTTATTTAACATTTCTTTGTAGGACTAAATATGTTGTTTACTTCCAAAGTCTGCTGATTTTTTTTAATAGTGCAAGTTCCGTCTGTTTGATATAAAAATAGATGAAAAATGATTAAAAAGCTTTCATCTCCGCAAAGACTTGGTTTCTACACCTTATCAAAATAGCGTAGCTACCACCCTAAACACTTGTATTAATGCTCAATAGAACTAAACCCAAGCCATTTTTGTACACTGCTGTCATAAGAGTAATGTAAAAAAACCCTGGTTTTCACTAACAGGAGACAGGTTGAAGGGGCATCGTGCTATTTCACTATTTCATGGTTACCATTTAACAGCGACAGACATTATGGAAGGAGATGATACAAGAGGTTAATTCTTACAGAAGTCACGGTATCGTTCTTCATGGCAGAATTGTACTGAAGAACAGATCGAAGTGGTTCTTTGCTGGGAAATGTGAGTAATGGAGACTTGGTAGCAATTTCACATACACCTTCATACCATTCTTCTGGCCAGAGACCTGGAACACAAGTATAAAGAGGAAGGTGGGGTGTGGAGAAAAACTCCATAAAGATTCACAAAGTTAACAAGCATTATCAAGCTTTGCACTACTTCCTAGGGCAAATTTTTCATGCCCTGAAGCACAAACACTTAATACAAGTGATCCATGTTCCAAACATAACAAACATGTTTAGGTAATTTCAAGTCAAGTTTCTCACGGGGTAAGAGGTTTCTACTTGATTACCACTGTACCCCATGCATCTGATCTTCCATTTCAGGAACTTAGCTATCAAAACTCATACTTAACTAAGGCCGTTAACTTAGAAAAAACACCCGAGTACAGGTTGTACCGTGCTGAATCTCCTAGAACAACTGTAAAGATGTAAAGAAATCCTGCTGGGTACCTGACATGTAAGCTGTTCGTTTTGTAGTGTCTTTATGTCTGTAGTTTTTCTTCAGTCTACTGTGAATGGTTTGCATACGGTTGCACTTACATTCATCAAGAGTTTAAATGGGAGCAGCAATGTTGCTCTCTCAAGAGTTTACACTACCTGATCCTTCCACAGCAAATCCCATCAGTACTGAATACAACCAGAAGTCCCGGAACAGCTTTTGCAACCTGGGCTTGGCCTCCTTGATGGGTGGCAAGCGTCTAGTGAGCTACCAGAGAAATAAAATTAACATCAGAAAACGGTGGGAGTTACAATAACTTAATTCCATGCTAAGAGATTTATTCACGTACCTTCTTAACTATGATTTACAAAGATAATGTTCTTTGTCAACTATGAAATCTACTATGACATTGCTATCGTGACACTTCAGAAAATTAGATCTTGTAAGAATATCTTAAATGCTAACGTTTGAGATGCCTGAAGTAACAACGTCCTTTGTTTTACAGAGGAACAATACCACCCTGATACAGTAACATCTGGAGAGAATACGTAATATCAGTATCTTATCAACCGCAGAGAGGAAGAGACCACACGGCCCTTTAACCTGGGTTAAAGACAATGCCATGCAGCTTTGCTTCAGCGCAAAGGAACTCAAACCCAAATAAACATTAGTCAAACATACTTCTGGTTTGTTTATTGGCTTTGTGGAAATACATTGAGGCACCAATTGGGGATTTTTCATTGTTTGCACCCACGCACAGAGTGACATCAGTTCTGGAGAATTTACTATCTAAACAAGCAAGTAAAAGAGCATTATTTTCAACACATTTATTAAAATTCTCCAATACTTTTAGCACAAACAGCTGCTACCACTGAAAGACTACACTTTGGACTCCCAGCCAACATGATATACAATTTTACGTACATTTACCTAACAAAGCTCATGGAGTGTTCTCCTAAAAAGTGTTAGATGCACAGGCAGTGTTTAAAAAGTGAAAGAAATGGCCCAATAAATGAGAAGCTTTATTCAATATGACTGTATATTACTACTGTAAACTTTATTAAGAAAATGTTACATTCTAACTTGAAGAGATTTTCTTTCTAACTCTACAATGATTCCCTTGAGGTACAAAAGACAACAGCATCTCGGTGAAACCTTTTATAAAGCCAACTTTGGATATATTTGTAAATAATGAGGGAAATTGTTCATTTTTAAAGAAATATGAAGATTCCTCTATTACAGCAAAATTAACATGAGTTTAAGCTGGTAAATGGCACTATGCTAAAAAGATGCTTGTGCAACGCAAATGTTTGCACTAATATAACACTGACTGAAGGAGCCTGACCACCACAACCACAGCAGCTCAGCCACGTCTGCAGTAAGATGCCCCCCCATTTCAGCACAAAATAGCAGCAACGTGGCTTTTACCAGTCATTAACAGTCAAGTTTATGTGCATGCTTGACTTTGAAACTTTACATACACACCAGTTCTTGCTTAAAGATTTTCCCCAAAAGTGAACAAGTACCTGCAAAGCCATAAAAGTAGTTCAACAAACAACATAACGATTCAGCAGAGCTCACTAGGCAAGGGAGGGATTTTGGCTGACGAAGTAAGTTTAGCAGTGTTTGGTTTAGAGAATGTTTACTTTGGGAGATACACAAAAACCTAGCGTCAAAGTTCAGATTTAAACCCTGCCATTCCTCTTACTTGAGCTATTCAACACAACCTTTCTGTACAGTGGCTTAAAGGTAAGATTCATTTCCATCTTCTGTTATTTTAGGTAGGTCTGACCCAAGACACATATATTCCAGAGTGGGGGAATGTTTAGCCTGTGTAAGTGCAGCTAAGCAATAACTGAACGTTGGTGAAGAGGAGAATGTAAAGCTGGGAACTGCAGGCAGCAAATCCTTCTATGCCAAAAGCAGAAAACATTTATCAGTGGTTACTGGACAGAATATCTCAAACCTAAGGGCCTGACTTCTGGGGGTGGGGGAAAAAAAAGCCATGAATTTATGAAGAAACAATAAGAAAACGACTGACTCGAGTCGTTCAGTCACAGTGTAAAAACCATTGTAAAAGCACCTTCTGTGGATCCTTCCTTATTGCAAAACAGTACAATTTTTTGCATGGGATAATCACCTTAAATGCTTTTAGGATTTCAGAGAAATTAGTTCAGGAGAAGAGTTTCAAAAATTAAAACTAGTTCAGTTACTTCAGTCTTGCTACAACATGTTTGAAAATATTTTCCTTCAAGCACTGGTTTTGTACACAGACATACAGGTATGTGTATCTATACTTTTTACTCCTACATAACAGCTCTTTGAACCATTTGCTAATTTCAAAAAACATTTTAATCACCCTTGTAATAAGACCTTTGTTTCAACAGTGCAATCCCACTAATGGTATTTAGTGCAAATGCACAGCCTTCTCCACGTTTGCTGCTAAATCCCTGCACCTCCTTTATTCCATCAAATCTCAACTTTGCTCTTCCAAAAATACTCCCACGAAACTGCCATATTTTGTTGTAGCTACAGGATGTCTGTTTTCTCAAATTCTTCAGTACATCTCAGTCTTCTGGTATGCTCCTTTAGTGGATGTCTAGTCCCTCCTACCAAGCTCAAATCTTCAAACTTATCTTCATGTCGTATTTTTAGTATGCACTAGTAACACAGGAAGTACACATTTTAAGTGTTACAGGTTTATAAATAAAGAGTCTCACCTATTTTAGGTGATGAGTTTGTTACTGCTGAAATATGCCAGTAACGATGACTCCCATGGGAGGAGGTCAGCCGATTCTTTGGCAGGCTGGAGGCACTACGTAAGCAAAACCAGTTACCAGTAAAACAGATTTATCCATCTAGTTAAGCCCCATTCCACTAAAAAAAATGCTGTCATATAAGGTAACCATAGACCTTCTGTTGTGACAAAACTCAGTGTGGACCTAAATTAGGGAACAGATAACTAAAACACATTAATCTATGCTCTCTCAACCATGTTATGTTGTTTTCCAGGCTCTGACCTGTCAGAATGAAGCTCCTGTTTCATTTGCTTTCCCTTGCTCTCATCATAACCTCTGCATTTTGTGGAGTCAAGGACTTCATTGAACATTTTGAAAGCCTTAAAGGTGCACAGCCACATGAAAATGGGACTTACGATATGCCAAACTTACCACCAGAGTTTCACAGAGAAAACACTATCACTAATGACTTGATTCCTGAAGAGGAGGAGGAAGAAGACTACCTAGATCTCGACAAGATACTGGGTGAAGATGACTACAGTGACATTATTGATGCTGGCCCATACATGGTTTCTGAAATTCGGCAAGGAAATATTCTTGAATTATTCCAAGGCAAAACCAGAATTCAGCGCCTCAATATCCTCAATGCAAACTTTGGTTTCAACCTTTACCGCAGCGTGGCAGACAAAGCCAACTCTTCAGACAATATTCTCATGGCTCCTGTTGGCATTTCCACCGCAATGGCTATGATTTCTCTGGGTCTGAAGGGTTTGCAGGAAGTATTATCTGCTCTTGGCTTTCAAGACTTCATTAACGCCAGCACCAAATACGAGCTCATGACCGTTCATAATCTCTTCCGCAAACTCACGCATCGGCTCTTCAGGCGCAATTTTGGTTACACGCTGAGGTCTGTCAATGACCTTTATATTCACAAGGACTTCTCTATTCTGAACGATTTCAGAAACAATATGAAAACATATTACTTTGCTGATGCCCAACCAGCCGATTTTTCAGATCCTAACTTCATAACTAAAACCAATGAGCGCATCTTGAAGCTGACCAAAGGGTTAATAAAGGAAGCTCTTGTGAATGTGAACCCTATAACCCTGATGATGATTCTTAACTGCCTTTACTTTAAAGGTAAGAATCAGTTATTTCAATCCTAGCAGAGGATATTCTCAGTTTGCAATTCACTGCATACTTCATTAGAAATTCTAGACTAAACTTAAATCTAGTCTACAGTTCACAAAAGCCTATTGACTCCCTCATTAAGAAGATTCTCTACTATTAGCCCATATTTGCATGTTCCAGTCATGCCCTGAAGTTAGTGGGTATTGTACAAACACAGGAAATGCTTATTCCATCCAAAACCTTACAGTCTAAAAGTGAGATTTAAGAACAACATATCAATGCAGACTAGACTCAGAAAGCTTTGTCGGAGTCTCAGATAGCGAGGTATTAATGCATGTGCAAGTTATTAGTCACATTCAGTCCTGCTTCAAGTTGCTGGCTTCACAGAAGTGGTACAGCTTTACCTCAGTTAAAACATTAAACATTTCTGAAGTATTCAGGATTCACAGAAATTACTACAAAGAATTTCAGCTTAAAGAATGTTGGATTTTTAAATATGATCATAGAATCATGGTATGGTCTGGGTTGGAAGAGACCTTAAAGATCATCTAGTCCAACCGCCCTGCCATGGGCCATCAGAGCATGACCCTTGTCAACAAGCCAGTACAGGGGACTGAACAGAACAACCAAAGCAGTATTCTTCTAAAACTGAAAACAAATACATTCACTAATTCAAACATCTCCATTAATTCACCGTGCATTGTCTGCTGATGTGGGCTCCTACATGTTTCACTATGGGCTGAACAGTTAGAGAGGCTTGAAGTAAAGACTGTACGAGTATTCTTACTATAAATCCTTATTTTCAATTTCTTCCCATTTAAACTAAGAGTCTCTGGTGAGGTTGTCAACATTTGTTATCTGCCTTAGGTTAGAAGTTTGGTAATTTCTCAACAAACTTGTAAAATTTCACTAAATGAGCAAAAGGTGGGAAGTGCCAATGAAAGAGGAACTAAGGAAAACAAAAGGAAATGTGGAAATGTGTTCCTAATTAAGATGAATAACAGATGAAGGTGACTTAAAACACTGGTAAGGAGGGACAGAGTAGCACAAAGGATAACAATGCTTGGAATTAAACCATACTCCTTTCCATAACTTATGAAGTAGCTTCCTATTTTTCCAATTATGTCTCTGCATCCAGGAAACAAATACTCAAGGGCTCTCTTACACCTGCCTTCTCAGGATTTGATTCTAGGAATTTAATGAAACACCCCTCCTATAAGTTTATGAAACATACCTTTTCCCACTCACTTGCAAGGTGTTACTTCCTTGAATAATACCACTTGTCTATCTAAAAGGTCTGAAGCAGTCACTGGCATAAGATCGAAACAATCTCCTATTTTGAAGTACCATCCAAAAGGGACTTATTTGTATCCTTAAGTACATCTCTGATAATCATATCATATTAAATACATGGCTTTACTGTCTGTTACACCATCCTAAAAAAAGGAATATGCAAAGTGAAACAGATACATTATTTTCTCACAATTTGGTCAAATTTAAAACACTTTTTACTCTGAAACTATCAAATAATTGTGTTATCCCAAAATAAACACTCCACCAAAAAATTAAGTAGCTTTAGTACTGGAACTCTTGAGTCCTCAAGACTAAGACTTTTTGGCTTTTTCTTCTCCCCATGGAGTCCTGTTAGTCCAAACTGCCTTGGTGCTGTCTGCTGAAGGCTACAACTTCTAATCCTCTAAACAAACAAACAAACAATCTATATTGCTGTCTCTATTCTTTCATCTTATGGTGACAGTCTCCTAGTAATTCCACTTCAGATCAAGTTCTGCTCCTGGTTTCCTAGTTTTTGCACCAGTCCACCTAGACATGCTAATTTTTGTCCACATATTGCATTTTACAATATTGACACTGCCTATATCACTGCAGCCAGTCTCTGTTAAGTCCTCAAAGCTAAAAATCCCGTAGGTATTCTCAGGTACGCAGAGGTGTTCAGTGCTCGTGATAATGAGCAATGGAATACTTGACAAACTCCATGAAGTCTCAAGCTCCTTTTACATTAAATACCATTTTAAAAGCCACTGGAAACTATTCACATTGGTAAGAAGCAAGTTCTATCTCATATAGGTGTCCAGTCTACCTCCAGCTGAGATCTACTCTCCATTCTGCAGAGGTCTGAACAATCATTTACGCGTTTCCTATGAAGCAGTAGTTATTTCAGCCATGGCAGATCACAGCAGCTTTGGATAACCTGACAAATTCTGACAGGTCTAAAATTACTTTTCTGAGATTCCAGTCATAAATGCAAGAAAGAAGCCACTCAGTGGAAACAACATCTGCCACCACAGCTGGATCTAAAAGACATTTTGGTGGGACGATTTAAAACAGGGAGTCATGAAAATCAAAGTGCCGACTGGTTCCAGCTCACCCCGGAAGACCACATGCCTCCTACTGAAGAATTTTGGGAGTATTTTACCCCAAGACAAACACATCTGCAAAAGTGAATTCAAGAAAAACGTTCCCCAGCTCCTCTTTTACTAGGAAGAGCTGATAAATTCTTCTCATTCCTCAGGTGCTGACAGTGCTGCTGAAGCTGTCCTGGCCCACAGCAGCATCGGGTCTTTAGCTGGCTCAAGTCCTGTACCTGTGAATTCTGCTCTCCGAAGAACAGCTAAATGTTGTTTTTTCCTGAGAAGTGAGACAATTTGTTTGGCAAGAGCATAATCCATTCTATATTCCATTCCCTTCAGAATATTAACCACAGTCTGATCACTTCTCAAACTGCTCCCCATCAGCCCAACATATGAAGAAACTGTTAGAATGAAAGTTGGACTTAAGGCTTTTTTTGTTACTTCAGTCAATTTGGCAAAGTCAGAATAAGGATCTCAGATTCCCGTGCAACCTTTTAAAAAAGGGTTACCAACTAGGGTTAAATTTGTAGTCTCTCCACACTCCCCAGGTACTTGCTTGCCAACAGTGATCTAAAATCCAGAGTTTTAACAGGAAATACCAGTAACCCTATTTCCACTATACAATTCTAGCTTAGTCTGCCCATTAAGAAAAAAGATAATGTTTTTTCCAGAGCCTTGGTTCTGAAAAGAGATCAACAGGAACACTGCTTTAAAAAGCACCTTCTACGACACAGTCAATATTTCGGGTACCCAAACAATCTTCACATTGGAAAATTCAAACTCTGGTGGCAAAGCTTTCTGGGCTGCAAAATACATCGAATTGTATTCTTTGGGCATAAACCTGTAGATGACTTATGTCAGCCTTGCCTAGGTGTGCTAAAATCACATCAGCTGGGTCACAGAATTAAGCAGTCAACACCCAAATTTTTCAGTGTGTCTTAACACAGAAAGCTAACTGCCTTGAATGGACCAAGTCAAGGTAATGCCTTCAGGATAGTATCTTTTCTGCAAATGAAAACAGCCATTAGTCAGCTTGACGTTTCTGATACTTCAAACAGCCTGGTTTCAAGTATTGGATCTCTCAGAAAATACACATGTGCCAGTTGTTTTGCTAGGTGCAAACCCTGTCAAATATTTTGCAACTGTTTGAACTTTGTAATATACTGGTTCCTTGTAGAAGAAAATAGTACACACCAAGCCCTTTCAGATTTCCAGTTTGTAGTTACCTGCTTTTGTCATTCAGAATATTCAAATCAGAGAAATGTTAAGTTAGAAAGCAAGCCAGGAATTTTAAAGTCACTTTAAAACTTGTCTTCTTAGACAGGCTTAATTGAAATCAACAATCTCCTACAATAATTCCCAATTCACAGGAATTAAAGCTTAATGTAAACTTATTCTGGGAATGTTTTCTTAAACAAGGATATTGGGCTTTTCTGTTTACCTGTCTTCTGCATTATACTAACAGGAACTTGGGAGAATAAGTTTCCAGTGGAAATGACCACAAAGAGAAGCTTCCGACTGAACGAGAAGCAAACAATAAAGGTTCCTATGATGCAGACCAAAGCGAACTTCCTCGCTGCTGCAGACCCCGAGCTGGACTGTGGCGTGATCCAGCTCCCGTTCGTGGGGAACATCAGTATGCTGATCGTACTTCCACACAAGCTCTCTGGCATGAAAGCCCTAGAAAAGCAGATAACACCTCAAGTGGTGGAAAAATGGCAGAAGAGCATGACAAACAGGTATCTGCTGAAAAGTACATCTTCTTAAAGTCTTGAGGTATTTTCTTGATGAGAGTGGCAAGGGTAAGTAAAAAGCACAGAAGATAACATATGATGACTAAAAATACTGAACCTAAGCAAAAACCCTCTAAAGATGGATTTATTGAATCAGGACCAGTGATCTCTTGAAATTCAAATGCCATCAAGAAATCGAGGATGACTGAGGTGGAAAATTCCAAAATTCCTTCTATTAAGTATTTAATGTTGTAAATTTAAAGAGAAGGTTCTTACTCTTATGCTGTAAACTGGTAATAGTTTACAATGAGGAAGAAAAAAAAAGGAGTATGATGATAACGGGTTATCTGTGCAGAATAATCTCAACCGTGCAGAAAGCTGCCTGTGTTTGTTTCAGCACTATGCATGTCAACACATCTGTTGTGTAAAGGTACACATCAGTAATCAACAATGGACATCACAATTAGGGGAGAGAAAAAAATTATATAGCCTGTCTTGGGTAAGATGACAGACTAGGTGGTGTCTGTCTTCAGACTTGATAAGAAGATTAAAAGAGCTGATTTGATGTGCTATTCAGGAAGCCAACTAATTTCTATTGTGCTCAATCAATGACAAATCTCCAATTCAGTGCTCAGAAAACTTGACAGTTCAACATTTATTACAAACATATCCAACCATGTACTGAACTGCTCAAAGCCATACATCTCACACACATAAATAACGGAAATAATCATAAGTGAAATATTAAATTGACAAACTAAAAGTTTTGGGAGGGGAATTAATTTTTTAATTCACAGCTTAAAAGTAATGATGCTCAAGTTCTAAAAGTGCTGTATCTCTCTGTGTCCTGCTTGCTGAAGACAGCAAAAAAACAAAAAACCCAAACTGCAAATACGCATCTCCTCAACTATTTTTCATTTTTGTTTTTCTTTTTACTAGAACAAGAGAAGTGGTTCTGCCTAAATTTAAGCTGGAGAAGAGTTATAACTTGATTGGTTATCTGACATCCATGGGAATAGAAGAACTGTTCAATGAAAAAGGCGACTACTCTGGTATATCAGATGAGAAAGTCACCATTGACAGGGTATTTACTCCTCTTTTCATTTCCTTTCTGATCACAGAGAATATCAGGAGTTGTAAGGAACCTCGAAAGATCACCCAGTCCAACCCCTGCCAGAGCAGGATCACCCAGACCAGGTCACACAGGAACATGTCCAGGCGGGTTTTGAATGTCTGCAGAGAAGGAGACTCCACAACCTCTCTGGGCAGCCTGGGCCATGCTCTGGCACCCTACAGTAAAAAAAGTTTTTCCTCGTATTCAGATTGAACCTCCTATGTTCCAGCTTGCACCCACTGCCCCTTGTCCTGGCATTGGCTGTCACTGAGAAGAGCCTGGCTCCTTCCTCCTGACACTCGCCCTTTACAATTTTATAAACATGAATGAGGGCACCCCTCAGTCTCCTCTGCTCCAAGCTAAAGAGACCCAGCTCCCTCAGCTGCTTCTCATAAGAGAGATGCTCCACTCCCTCCATCATCTTTGTGGCCCTGCTGGACTCTTTCAAGCAGTTCCTGTCCTTCTTGAACTGAGGGCCCAGAACTGGACACAATATTCCAGATGTGGTCTCACCAGGGCAGAGCAGAGGAGAAGGAGAACCTCTCTGCCCTACAACCACCCCCCTCCTGATACACCCCAGGATGCCATTGGCCTTCCTGGCCACAAGGGCACAGTGCTGGCTCATGGTCATCCTGCTGTCCACCAACACCCCCAGGTCCTTTTCTGCCTGGCAGCTCCAACCACTTGTCCCCAAGCCTGTAGCGCAAGTCCTGCTTTACTAATCTTTCTGATTAAACTGTATCACCTGAAAACACGGCAACACAGTAAAAATAATTCACAGTAAGCTAAAATAATATTTCTGCTCATCTTTCCCAGAGGACATAGGAGAGATGTAGGTTTCTCTGCATGTCCTTGCCTATTCATATAGTGAGGAACACATTTAATCAGATATCAGAGGCACTAGAAGTATTGTGGTTGGCCAGGAACAAGCTTATTTACAAACCAAACCCAAAGGATTGCTGCTGCACTGGAGTTACCAGCAAGAGCGTCACAAGGGAGCCACATGTGGGACATGGATGGGGGGAAGCTGTGAGCACATCATTTGAGTATACTGACAAGATCCTCAACTTCTGTTCTGTTTGTTTTCCTTTTTTTGTTTGTTTAAACAGTTCAACCATCAAGGCACAATCACTGTGAATGAGGAAGGCACAGAGGCTGGAGCAACAACCAACGTCGGGTTCATGCCTCTTTCTGCTCAGATTCGCTTTATTGTCGACCGCCCCTTTTTGTTTCTGATCTATGAACACCGCACCAGCTGCCTTCTGTTCATGGGTAGAGTTGTCAACCCAGCTAAGTCTTAAAAGCAGAGAAGACCTCCAACACGCTGTTCTCCATGGGCTGTATAATTACATGTTCATATACCAGTATCGTAAAGGAAATTTTATTGCCTTATTAGCCGATACCACTGGTATCAAAAGAAAATACATTACATACAGGTAGTTTCACATGAATGGACTCATAGCAGTAGGTAATCTGATTGCAATTTAAAATGGTTAGTGCCGTGTATTGATGCAAGTGTATTAGAAGAAAATAAATCACAAAGTAACTTACACTTTGTGTTCTATAAAACGTAATCAATAAAATATTTAGACTATCTGGATTCTTGAAGTTTAGCTCTAAATTTGTGCTGGGATGCCTATTTATAATAAATAGGAACAAGGAAATCCTGAATACCTGATCAGTCTTCGAAGCCTAAGTCCCTCTTGGGTATTTTACAAAATCTAACTTGAAAAAGAGCGGGTGTCTACGTTCTTCCTTTTGCGTGCATCATTTAACATTCAGCAAACTTACACACCATGAACCTTATGGAGCAGTGTATCAAATAAGAGGAGATAAAACATCTTGGAGGAATGAAATGTTAAGGGATCCACTGCTTTTCCCCAGCCTAACTTGTACGGTTTCAACACAGTTATCTCATCATCGGTACAGGCGGTATTGGAACTACACCATCTGATCCATCATTACCAGAATCATTCTGGTACCAAGATGAATGCTGTACTAAAGCCTGTTTCACATTTAAAAGTTTACCTGTGCTCTGTAGCATATTACTACCTACCCAGTGCAAAGAACAGTTGCATCTTACATTCGAGTTATTACAGCAATGAACATACTCATTCATCTTTGCATACCTGGCTTTGCATCATACCTTTAAAAAAAGTGTGCCTCATAATTCAGTGAGGGTATTTACAGAAATCATTAACATTCATATATACATTTTATTGTTTAATCTATATTCAAAAAGAAAAGCATATTCAAAAGACTAAATATTCATGCCCCAGATTTAATTACTTTATCACTAATTAAAAGAGCTGGAGCATCTGAAATATGGGGTTTCTGAGACATAAGTAACAGGAATTATTGAAGAGAAAGAGCTCAAGCACAAAAGCAAATCAGCTACTGCCCAAAACTCATGATCTTCATACGTTGTGCAAGAAAGTCAAATATTTGCTTCAACAACCATAATGTAACCATTAACTCTTGCTTCAGATTCTGGCACTATCTGACTCCATTTAAAGGTCACATTGGTTAAGAAAAATACAGTTACCATCAGCTATTCAGAACAAATATATCATCAATAAAAAGCTGAAGCAGAAAAGTACTTACGTAAATTTTACATTAAGTCTCTAACAAGCATCAACCTTTTCTCAATATGCAAGGAATGATCCTGCCTTCACTCAAATCAGTGCTGGCAATACTGACAGCTGAAAAATACTACCCACTAGAACATCTCTCAACACAAGATTAGCTAGTTCATGCAAAAACTGAGCAGCTACTAAATAACAGCCATCCATTAATAAACACATTTCTGTAAAGCTAGGATCTAGCCCTTGCAATCACTGGTGAATTCAGGAAGAGCTCACGTTGGAAACTGTTGGAAGAGACAAGGGAAGGAAAGGAACAGTTCTCTGATCTTTAACCAGTCCTAATTTTAGTCTCTACTCTTTGAAAAGCTTCAGTAAAGAGGTTTATGAGGGCAGAGTATGAAATGAATTGGTTTTTTCTGCTTGTTAACAGAGATGCAGTATGAGCAGGATACGAGCAGGCACGCCTGCTGCAAGCATGTAAGACATTTTACCCTTTTGTCCCACCAGCCGTGCAGGACAACCTCCACACAAGAATTCAACTTCAGGAGGGGAGAGAGCGTGAGGTGGTGCTTTTTTGTCCTCCAGTAAGTTGAACTTTGTTGATGGATCTTTTAGAAATGATGTTTCACGTGAAAGCTACAGCAGTTAGGCAACTAGTCCTACTGACCTGGAAACCCCTGCTTGGGCATATCAGATTTTCTGTTAGAGACCCAGAATGGTTGCACACCAATTTCAGGCTGAATTAGTAGCTACACTTCGCTAAAAAAAAAAAAATTCCTCCAGAAAAGGTTGTCATCAGAGACCAAAACCAGATACACAACAAAACAAATGAGTCTGGAATGGACATCAGTGTTGTTGCACATTTCCTAAAATACTTTCAATATGACAGCCAATTCTAGTTTCAGAAAATACAGGACACTTCTGACACTTCCTCCTCTTCCTCCTTCCTTTCTCAATGATTCTTTTTTTTCTCTCTTCCTCTTAGGAAGCAGAATTCACTGTGCTGCCAAGCTAAGATTTATTTTTAGCTCTGTTTCTATTCTCTTTTGTTTTAGACTTTTCTCCACAGGCCACACATACGTGCTGTTTACTACACTGCACATCAAACACGATTCAAAGAAACATCCCCTGTGGCATTATTTAGCTCATGAATCTTTCGAATTCATGACTAGTGACAATGTAACCCTGAATCACAAAAGATTAATTAAAGAGATCTGTCATTATTATACAAATGTTCCCTCCTCTTCTTAGAGCAAGAGATATTATTTTACAATACTATTCTATTTCTCTTGGATGCTTGCTTCTGCAATAGTTGTTAATCAAACCATTTGACCATGAAGTAGCACTGATATTTGAAAGAGCTGATAAAAATTGTTCTGTTTGCGACAACCCAACGATCGGATACTCACCACAGCAATAACTGGAATAAGCACACCCAAATTCCCTGCGCTACTGGAGGCCTGGAAAAGAAAAAGGAAATTATCAAAACATCTACAGAAGCATTTCTAAAATACCTGCTGCAAGACATATTTCAAGCATCAAATATTCCTACTGTCTATGCCAACAAAACATTGCCAATTACAGCTCTCTATCTTGCAAACAGATGTGCCAAGATCAATAGGTGGCCAAGAGAGCACCCAGAAACGCACAGGACTGGGCACAGCCTGGAGCCTTTTCAACAGGGCTTTTCAGGTGAGTCCCTGCAGACTACTGAAGGGCTATTTCGCCCCTTCCAGCACAGCCTTCTACGTTTGGCAGTCAGATATTATGCCTTGAGCTAAAGGGGTGGGGGGGTGTGGAACATTCATTGATATCACATCTACTCTGACATCCAACAACTGCAAGAAAAATGCTCACTGGCAAGTGTCAAATGTTTACTAAAAGTCTCATTTTACCACCAAAATGAAGCAAAAAATAACAAGTCTGTAAAAAACCATCATTTTCAAGAATTCAATTAAGCAGCAGGGACAGCCTTTTCCATTGAAATAAAGGAAGCATAAGGAAAACACGTATTTCCTTTGACTTATTAGGTTGCACTCTATACAAGTGTGTCTGCCCTTGGCCAAATACAGTGTTTCAAACCTGAAAACATTCACTGCACACAGCACATTGTCTCTCATCTCCTCTGGTAAGGCAAAAATAGCACAGATCTCCTCTCTAAAGTCCTTCCCTGCCTCCCATATCCCTCCATATTGGATCTGGGACGGAGAGAACTCTCCAGCTTCCACCTTACACGAGAAAGAGCAGCAACAGAGACTGCAGGTCCCACAGGGAGGAGGCAAGGCAGACACACTAACAGTGTACAGCAGTGCATGAAGTAGAATAAACTGAAAGGAAGCAGTTAAAAACAAAGAAAGAAGAAAAGGAAAGAAAGAGAGAGAGAGAGAGGGAGAGAAACAAAGCCAAATAGTCTTCAGATTAAACAATAATGATACAACCCAACTAAAACACACTTTAGTTCGCTTTCCTGTAGTGTCCGAGATGAAGCAAAACAAAAGATGGACCCTTAAATATTTTTACAGGGAACAAAAGAACAGCACTCAAGTCACTCTAAGGGGTAGGAACAACTGGAAAAAAGTCACTCTATTTTTCTTTTGCTAGCATCAGGACAGTTCACCGCCAAACTGCTGCAGAGTCAGAGTAGAGATCCAAGCTGAGATAGCCAGATCCCAGCACATGACACCAACAGACAACTGCAGAAAACCCAGTTCTCTATTCCGAATCAAAAATTCGGTATCAGCCTCTTTATGATAATATATAACACCGAGGATGAATAAGATGCAATTACTTCCATCCCTGGGCATACTCAGGGGACATTCATGTTAAGTATCACCAACAGCAAAATAAATTTAAAACGTTGTTTTTCTTCCCCTCACAGAAGCCACTTTTGCATGGTTGAAAAATGTGGCTTAAAACAGAATAAGCCACTGAAGTATTTCAATGGTTGGTGAGCAAATGTAAGTCCATAGAAAAGCATGCTAAGAAACAAAGGACACAGGCAAACTATCAAATGACCGAAAAATGCTTTTGCTGTGAGTACAGCATGTGCCGTGTTATACCCACTCTACCTCCTCTTGAAAATTAAGTAACCCAGTCTTCAGAATACCTTTCGTAACACTGAGTAGTGTTCTAGTGAAAACTGCTATCAGTAGCCTCATAATAAAGAAACACTGCCTCCTAGCTCAAATCCATGTTAAATCACTTATTTTTCCATCTGCAGGCAGCTTAAATTCAGTGCAGCAGTTTGCATCCCATAGTAAAACCAAAACTGAAACAGTGGAAAAATACCCCTGAAAGGAGGAGGGTGGAACCCTAATTTAGAAGTGTCATTTTAGAGCAATGTTTACAACCTGTTTTTCACCATTTCAGCTCGCTTGTCTGTGGATAAAAGCATCTATGAAGCCTGTGGAAAGACATTTTCCACCACAGACTCCACGAAAAGCAGATTCTAGACATGTCCTAGTTCCTTTTTAAGGGTAGAGTTGGCATCTCTGATTAAATGCGGTCTGTCTTCAGTGCAAACAGATTCATTTCGGAGGGATTTACCAAGAAAGTTCACCCAACCCACAGAAGGATAAAGAAACAACTTACTAATAAAATGTAGCATGCACAGGAGGGGGAAAAAAGAGATTAAAAAGAAAAAAACACATTGTACTAGGAAAATGTGCCTACTTCAAAAGGAAGCGTTACCTATCTGCCCTAAAAAGCAGGGGACAGCTCTCAAAGCACATCTCCAAGTAAACCTTAACTTTAATAATTCAAAGGTGTTCATACTGGAAAGCATACAAGTGTATTTCTTTTATATTGAATCACTATCAAACACCGAGTTTCCACCAGCTATCCTAAGGAAGTGCATGAATACCAAGAGGTTTCAGCATTTGAACACTGGGGAGGAACAGAACCAGAGGAGGGGTCTGGTTTTTGCTGAGTAGGAAGCAACCACATTTTGCTTTTCAAGCGATAATATGTATCTCAAGAAGAAGTCAAGGTTAACAGCTTGTTTATGAGTATATTTTAGAGCAAAAATGCAAGGAAGCTATTGTGGGAAAGGCTGAGAATTTTGTTTGCAATAGGCACATTGAGTACTCTGGGTGTTTTATTGAAATGGGAAGAAAGGTTGGTAGCAAGTGAGGTGAAAAAGTCTTCGCCTAAGAAAAAAAGCAGAGAATTCTGAGTGAATAAAGTAACTGCACATAAGCTACTCCTTCAGAAATTTAGCCAGCATTTAAAGACATTCCTTTCCCAGGCCTTCTCGTGGACTTTTAAAGGCCAGCATGTATTAAACTTTACAAATCACAATTGTACGTTGCACTCAGAAAGAACTCTATTTTAAAGCAAAACCACTCAAATTTACTCTTCTGCAAAGTATTCCTACCATACAAAGGGCAAGTTTCCTCTTTCTTAGACAAGCTTTTCATATAAACTTCATCTCCAACTTAAGCACCCCTAGAAATAAGCAGGGATTTTAATTAAATCTGTAATTTACCCTTCACGGCACTGTTTCCATTACAAGTCTAGCCAGATAGGCCCGCACCAGCTTGGATCTTGTCAAAAATCAAGATGCACCCACTCATAACACCAATTCAAGATCAGTCAGGATGACACAAGCTGACTACTTCAAGCCGAAGGCTGGACTCCAGGACCTCCTAAGGTCCCTTCCAACCTGACTTTTCCTATGATCCTATGACACTACTAAAATCAGAAGTAGAATTCTGTCACATCTAAACAGACTTTTAAGAATTAGTAAGAGGAGCTCAGTAGTCAGCATTGCATATTTCTTTTTGCAGCTCTGCCTCTACCAGCTCAGCGCTCCAGACAGGTTACTCAGCCCCACACAAAGTCACGCTCAGCTGAACGATGGGTGTACCACTGCTTTATCTCAGATACTATGCACAGATGCATTAGGTGTTTGAAAGGCATTACAGATATGCACTTATATTGCATGATCAGAACATAGTTTAAGGAAGCTTGATTTTTTTTTCCTCTGTGTGTGTCTGTCTCTGTGTGTTAAGGGTGTGGTTTTGGCACAAAAAAAAATCACACAGAAGATCATCTTTAGTAATGCCACCCAAATGAATACACAGCTGCATACAATTAAAAAGCAGTGCAAACCTGACCTTCAGTGCCGGTCCTTTCTCGCTTGCTCTCTCACTGGCTCGCTTTCCTTCTAGCCCGAGCTGAACAAACAGCTCCAGCAAGTTCATCAGTAGCTCATCCACAAGGTGTTCTCCTTGAATGTTGGCAGCGATGTTAGCCAGGGCATTAATGACTGCTAAGGAACAGTGTCTGAGAAGAAAGAACAGTTGTGGACAAGCAATTCGTCAATGTTTCACATTTTCAGTTCTTTCTTCATAATGCTGATAGTAACTCTTGGAATAAGGCTACTGACACTTTTTCACTGGGGTTTTTCTGGGAGGGTTATGTTTTGTTTTTACGAATAGCAGCACATCACTTTACTGATGATTGAACGCAATTAGTATTTAATTGAAAAACTATTTGTAAACTTTGCCTCTGGAGGACATTTTCTTATTGATGCTGTCACAGCCAAAAGGAAATTACTTTCCTGCAGCAGATACAGCTACAGCCAAGGAGCAGCAAAGGGCTGTGCTTCTGGATTGGGAAAACTCTTGAGCAGAATCAGAATTCTTATCAGTTATTGCTAAAGCTGAGATCGCATTGGGTCAGACAGTATGTTAAAACATTGACTCCTACTTACCTACTACATTATAAGATATCCAGCCTACCCTAAATACCAATTAAGTCAGGGATAATCTTTTAGCACATTCTTAAAAAAAAACAACAAAACAAAACAAAAAAACCACAATAACAAAACCAAAAAACCACACCACAACCCCCCCTCAAAAAAAATCAAACAAAAAACCCAACAGAAACCAAAACACACACACACACAGAAACCCAAGGGAACTTCGTTAGCTCTTCTAGGCTGAGAGATTAATTACTTTAATTACAGATCACGTAAGTCATCAATGCCAACTATCATTTACAAACATTAACTCCTTACAGAGGGGAAAAAAAAAATCAGTACTACTGTAGTAAAAAACATTTTTAGTAATCTCTACATTATGAAGTGCTACTATTTTTAAACTAATACATATCAAAGAAAAAAGAACTTATTTATAACCTTGTTATAAAACTTATACTGCAAAAAAGTGAAAGTCCCTGATGTAGTATAAAGGACATTCAATACAGCAGTCACACGTCTAAGACACACAGCTAAGTGTTACCTGTATCCATGATCCTTATAATCTTTTGTGGCAGAGTAAACAACTGAGCTTGCTTTAACGCTGATCTGCTGAAACAGGTTCCACACCTCCTGGTAAATATATTGCTGTAAAAAAAAAAACAACCCCAAAAAGCAAATCACTAAGTAAAGCTTATTGAATACAATCTCTCTAAAGAACAACCCTGTAAAATACACTAAGTATTATGAAGTTCTTCACAGAGGTATCCGGTCATAGCCTGAGCAACAGCTTCAGCTTCCATACAGCACACAGTGGAAGTGCTTTCATTACTGTTTTAATCGCTCAAATTATATAAATTTATTAAGTTCTTTAACTCTGCCTTCCTGATGGAAAACTTTTCTTCAGGCTTCTGAGTTCTGACAATTAATTGTTTGCTCATGGGCACAAATTACATTCAGAGAAGCTGAATCAGTTAATTCTCATATGACTGAAGAAGGCAATCGATACTTTTAAATGTATGGACCTCCAAGACTCAGAATTACTGATATGAAAAAGAGATAATGTGCACCTCTTTGGAACACAGGTCAAGTTCATAAACTTCTAAATATCTTTTGAAAACACTGAGTTTGGTGGGTTGTTACAGTTTTGGTTTTGTTGGTTTTCTGGGTTTTGTTTTTTTTTAAAAACTCCCTTATTATTTTCTATGGAGACTAATCTTCACAGGGACAGCATCTTACACATTGTTAACTTAGCTTTTGTTTTCTGATGTCATTGTGGTGAAGAAAAAAAAATACTACCTTAAAAGACTTCTGCAAAAGCACTTTCTAAAATACACTTCCTTTTAACTGAAGGAAAGGGATCATTAATTGGGACTCTCTTGACCAGTTCTTTCCTTACATTTCCAGTGATGACCAAGCAACCCAACTGATCAATGATGAGTACATCAAGGTGAGAAGGTGGCTGGCAAAACTTCTGCTGCAAGATCTGCAGGATGGGTTCCATCATTTTTGGGGTGTCCCTCAGTGCAACTGCAATGTGCCCTAGAGCACGAATTGTGTGGTCAGGAATCAAATGAGCTTCCCTGTTACAAAAACAAAGAAAAAAACCTCAAAACTATACATGTAACTGTTCAACAGTTATCAAGATCTCCAAGCTTGGTTACACTTCATGTAAGAAACAGTTCATACACTGAATTTAAACATCACTAACAACTTTAATACTGCCACTCTTCATATCCATCTACTCCCTGTGAGGGTGGTGAGGCACTGGCACAGGTTGCCCAGGGAAGCTGTGGATGCCCCCTCCCTGAAAGTGTTCAAGGCCAGGTTTGATGGGGCTTTGAGTAACCTGGTCTGATGGGAGGTGTCCCCGCCATGGCAGGGGGGTTAGGCCAGATGATCTTTAAGGTCCCTTCCAACCTGAACCATTCTGTGATTCAATGATTCTTTAAGTTGGTTTTCAAAGTAAAAACCAAACAAACAACCGCACAAACACGCTATCCAAGAAACCCACACTAATCCAAGAACAAACTGTTCTGAACAACAGGGAAAAAAGATAAACCATCTGCAAAACGTTAGGACATGACAGTCTGAGCGGCTACAGCAGGATCTCCCTTTGGGGGTTTTTGTGGTTGGCGAGTCTCTTAAATTGATCTTGATCCCACACACGAGCTCACTAATCTCAGAGACACTTAATTATAAAATAATGCTGCCCATATTTATATCGTAAAACAAGCTTCATGTTCACTGAGGGAAGAAAAAATTGGTTTGATGACTAAAAACTTACTTGTCACTCTCTTGAGAGATGTACAGACGGTTAGATAAACTGGCAAGAAAGGCCTCAACAATCACTGAATCTATAGTCAAGCCAGCTTTCAAGCACCTGGAATAATAATGAACAGAAAATATGCTAGAACATCTAGAGTGGAAAAAAATGCCTAAGTTAAACATTTCATTTTTTACTACTGTAAATTCACACTAGGTATAAGGGAAAAAAATTTATACTGCAGTATAAGAACTTACTGCCTAGGAGTGCTGCAGACGTGTTTTAAAAAAAAAAAAGTGGAGTTTCTACTTCTGCTTTTTCCAGCAACAATAAAGATGGGTGTATGCAGTAAATTCAGAATCCATTGCTTTAGAAACTTTAATCGCTTGTCTCTAGTCACCAACTATCTGTCTTCCCTCTAGCTCTCTGTAGCTGCCTAGAAGGGAAGAATAATCACTACACTGCTCTCATTTGAGTGTGTAACAATCCTTCTGTTACAGGAGCCTCACACAACATGACAAGCTAACCAGAAAACAAAAACCCCACTAAGTATCACAGTGGTGACTAGCATGAATTACATACGTGGGAAGCAAAACAATGAGACTGAATTATTTTACAAATAGGACACAAAGAAACCCAAGAGATATTTCAAGAAAAATGATGTTACAATCAAAAAAGGCCAAAAGCCTTTATAGCAGCACAGAGCAGCCCCTTCTTAACAGTCACAATACTTTTCTGCTTGGGAAACCAAACTCAAGCTCCAACATGGTGCAAGTCTCTCACTTACCTGCAGATGTTGTCTATGGCAATGTCACGCAGCTGCTCATACATGGATGGTTGACTTTTCTTGCCAGGCATTACATTTAGAGTGGACTCTGAATGCTCGTTGGTCACACTAATCTTGATGTCATTACCACCTACTAAGAACACAGAGTATGGAAATCAGCACCATTTGAAATGGCTTATTTCCACAAGATGAGAGCGCAGAGGCAGAGCAATATCTGGTGAGCACCAAACAGCCTACCTGACAGCTCCGAGAGTTGAGCTGAAGAACTTAGGAAGTGCATATGTTATCGCTAGCTATGCAAGATATTACTGCATTTAACTATTCCTAAATAATTATTCCTAAATTTAGTCACCTTCGGTTCTCATTTTACCTGTTCTGCTTTAGCATTACAATACTGCTTTTGCATTAGCAAGTGATTTGAATGGAACATTTTCTTTATGGAAATCAGAACTTGGTATTTCAATTAGAAAACAACAACTAAAAACCTGCCAAATGCCATCAAGATGGTGCCGAAGAACAGGACCTGCATGGAGAATGGCCTTGTTCAGTCTGGAAGAGGCAGCTTTGGACAGATCTAACAGCTGTATTCCAAAACGTAAAGTAGGTTACTGACAAGACAGAATCAGGCTGCATGGGAGAATGAGACACAACAGACCTAACTTGAAACAAGGGAGGTTCCAACTGGATATGTGAATCTTTCTTCCCTGCTATAAGGATAACTGTGCATTGGTTCAATGTAGAATCTCTGTCCTTGGAGGTTTTTGAAGGCCTATGTGGACAAAAGCCCGAAGCAATCTGCTCTGAATTGAGTGCTGGAGGTTGACACACATAATACAACCTTCTATACTGCAGTATCACACTACAGCTGTTGGTGATCTCACTCAGGACAAAAGTGCTTCCCATAAGACTCAGATTCAGCAGAAGAGGCACAGCAATATTGCTGCTAGGATAAAATGTAGCTCTATACATACTGCTTGCCCTTAGATACATTTCTACCAGACCTTGCTTTGCATTCTTCTCCACCACCAAAAAAAATATAAAGTCGAATGCATCTCCATTACAGTTGTGACCACAAAATATCCAAAAGCATCACAAATTATACAAGTTGGAAGTGCATATCCTTTGGAACACGGCCTTTTTTCCTTTACCTGTGTGATACTGGCTGTGATACTTGTAAAGTTTCACAAGCACTGGGGAAGGTATCACAAGGAAGTCCCTCAAGGATGGATTGACAGAATGAACCACAACAGGGAACCTCTCACACAAACGACCTAGCCCCTAAAAAAACCAGAAGAGGAACACAGCTTTAGAATATAACAGCACAATCTGTATTTCAGCTCTAAGCTTGCAACTTCAGCTCAATACAAAGGGACTCAAACCAAAACAAACTATACATAGTTTTGGGCTATTTGAATTGTAGTGGAAGATTTAGACATTTCAAGCCTCTAATTCTTTTAGGTTACCCTAGAGCACGTCATGTCAGTCAAGCCTTGCTGCTCTGATTTCACAGGACTCTCTAAAAATGAAGTTACTGGACAAGTTCAACCATTTAGAGAATCCTAATAATTTACTATGTGGTGGAAACCACTGCATTTGTAAGACTATTAATAAGTGCCCAATAATAACACATTAAAAAATAGAATAGCCAAGCCTTAGTTGACTTAGCACTACTCTACTGCAGCTCTAGTTTCCACACCAGACCACTGAAATCCAAACACGGCACACATTGATGGAAAGTAATACAAATAGCAGATAAAAAGTGTTCTTCTAGCAACCTGTACAACTGCCCAAACTCACTCTCTGATACAGCAATGTCAAATACTGTACAGACAGACCTGCAAGCAGCAAATTAGCAGTGGCAAGTGAGCAATGATGACTTTACTTGAGGTTTTTGACTGCAGCTTCTCTGATAACTTGATGCACAGGTTTTCTGCACCTGAAACAAACAAAAAACAACTGAAAAATTTATGTTTATCAGATTTGTTATCAGGCCACACACAACCCAATGCTTACTGGAATTTACAAAACAACAGAAAATTTATCAGCTTCATTCTCCTCATGTTACAATTCCTCATAGAGATACAGTGTTTATTGTGCAAAAACAGTTTTGGAAACCTAGTAAATGCACCAAACAGCTCTGTCAAACACTACAATTGAAAGAAAGATGGCATTTAAAGTTGATTCTGAGCATATTTCACATTTGACAGAAATTAAGTAGTGCAAGGTCGAAAGGAAAAAATCCTTCACAAATTCAGAAGATATGTAAAAATTATTTAAAAAAATAAACTGAGAAAGAGCCTCCCAACCCTGTTAGCAACAAAGCAAAAAACATTTTCTTTACAAGAATGACTGACAAAGATTGAAGACGCTAAGAGCAATAATTAAAAACATATAATACAGTAGAAAATCAGCAGCTGTATGTAGTGCAGCAACTATACCAGCTGTTGCAGATAAGCCAATAGGATGTTCCTGTTTCTGTTCCTATGAAGAGATGTCTAACTACCTGGCCAACTAATTCAACAACTGCTGATGGAAGCTTTACTTTTGTATTCCACTGAAATTTATTTTGTATTTCTCTAAGCACCGTCTACTCTGAGAGATCTTGTAAGCACTTCTACAACTTATAAACAGAAAACAGACATTCCAGAGACCAAAGAGAATTTTTTACCTTGCTCGTCTTTCACAGCCCACACCATGAGATCCACACAGGCAGCATTCGCCTGACAGCGCAGTTTTAAAGGACTCAGTTCATTGTGCAGCCGATCCACGTCATGAAGGATTTTCTGAAGTTCTGACTGACTGCTGTTGAATTGCTCCAGCACAAAATCGTGGATTTCCTTCACAAATGAGTTGGGAAGGTCTAAAGAAATAAAAGGAAATAACGTTATACTAGAAGGATGGGAGTCAGTGTATCAGAATGACAGCATATATAAAATCCATCGCTACATTATATATTAAGTGCTTTCAGAATGTTTATCCCCTACTTAAACATAACTTTCACAGCAATATCCACCAGTAAGCAGACAACTGCACTGTCATCTATTAGTGATGCTCGAATAATTTTTTGCTATTTCCATAGCGCCTTTTATACATGGAAATATTTCAAAATATAAACTTAACGGCAAATCGGGAGTTCCCAGGAAATGCAAATCCCTATGTTCAAGCACTCAATATAATACACACAACATTTTGGATCCTAAACATAATGAAGGATAAATTAATAAAAATACAAATACTATACCTTTCATATAGTATAATGTGTCTCTCAGCATTTTAAACTGAGCAAGATAAAGAGGGTCACTGAATGTTTTGTAATAGAGATCTGCATTAGCACTCGTCTGAAAGAGAAAAGAAACAACCTGCTTGATTCAAAAGTACAGATCTTCCATTGTATGGACAAACAAATCTTATTCCAGTCACATAACTTGTTTTCCTCCACAATGTAAGCAAGCTTTTAAAACAGGTACCAGAAGTAACCTGACGGGTTTGCCCCCTTAACTCTGTCAAAAGAAAAAGTCCAGCCATTCAGTGCATTAAACAAGATTCAGTCACACTTTCAAGTTGAAGTGCACATCTATGTTCTAACAGGAGAAGAAAAAAGAAAAAAAAAGATTCAAGCCTATAATTTTATTGAGTTAGCAAAAAGAGAAACTGAAGCTGTCTCCACGTAGCCCTACATTTCAAACATGGCAGTACTCAAAGAAAGGCTGGAGAGAACAGCAAATCCATTTTCCAACGCAATTCAATGCGCTCTTTCCAACACAGCTTTACACCCCCAAGGAGATGAGGACAACTCTGTAAAACGTGGTGAAGGCTGTTACAGAACTGCACCCAGTGACAGGGAGAACAAGGATGCGTACACCTACAGAAACAAGTGTGCCACCTCTGAAAGTAAAGGTCCACAAACTGTAACACTATTAAACTTGGAGAAATGACACCTAAAAGAGCAACAGTGATTTCCAAGCCAGAAAAACAAAACAATTGACACATTTTATCTACATGAAAAGATGACAATGTTACTGTAATACATAATTAAAACTTTAGTCTACAATAAAACAGTTTTGGGCAACCAATGCTGTAATTTGGCAAGGCAATAGAGCTAAAGTAAGAAAATGGTTCATTTTTAAGAGAGTAACTACTTCCTTCTACGTTACTGAAAAACATCCCCCCTTCACTCCCCATTTTCACGCAGCCCAAGGCTGATTTAAACCACTGAAAGAACAGTTCAAACAGGAAATTAGTATCATTTTGCAAAGAGAAGGCCTACTTTATATACGTAAAAGACTAATTTCCCAAGTATTAATTATTAAGAAAAAAAAAAGTATTCAAGTCATTAGAAAAGGAATTTTAATACATACCTCTGAAACCTCAGCTACAACTGCATCTAAGGTCTTTAGCAGAGAATCCCCAACAATCTGTTTTACCTATGGAGGAAAAAACAATAAAATAAAAAAGATGTTTCCTAATGATGACTCTAGATAGGAAGACAATACAATTTTGCCCATGCACAGAAAGCACGAGTCACTTGACTGCAAAGCGTCAGATGAAATTAGAGCTACAAGAATTTTTGGCTGCAGCAAGAATAAACATATTTGAGCTTCTGTGTGCTGTTCCAAAATAGCTGGTGCAGAAAGCTGATAGGACCAGTAGTTTCTGTAATGTGCATGAATTTCCAGCAAATAAACTCTTCTAGAAAAGAGACTCATTCTCACAGAAAAAAGCTCCAATCTTCTATTTCAGCAACTAGCAGTCTGTAAGCTACCTCAGATCAAGCGGTCTCCAAGACTCAAACAGGAAGAAGCTGACATAAATGTATTTGATTTTCCAAATTATTCATGGTTCACATGAGAGCTTTTTAGGAATACCATTAAAGCATCACATTAGATGCCATAAAAATAACATTACACAAAGCTTGAGAGACAAAAACTGTCTTTTTATTTGCAATTCTAAAAGCTTAAACTTAAACTGCATCTATTTCTAGCACAAATACCTAAAATGCAACCTCACTGCAGCCTTCATAAGAACACACCACATACCATGTTCAACAGCTGACGGAGCATTTCCAGTGGGATGTTAAACTCTTTATTGTTAATGCCATTGAAGAGAGGAGAAACTGAAAAGCTGGAGCTGATTGTAGAGAAGTAATAATCAGGATCCAGTGCACTCCCATCAGGAAGATATGAACCTGATCAGAAAAAATAACAGAAATAGAAATTTGGGGAGAGAATATACAAACTTTGTTTAATGCTAATGCTTAGTCACTATTAAAGAGCTATTTCCAACACAGGTATAGGCTTTGACTTCCAAACTATCAAGAGGCGGGTTTCAGCTAATCTACTGGTAAATCAAGACAGAACTCTGATGAAAAAATACATTAGTTCGTTAAAAGTTTACGATCACAACGGAAGAATCCATCTCAATGACTTGCGTCCATGTCAGAGACACTGCTGACAAGAAGTATTCCCATTCTACTGGTGTATCACAGAATCACAGCATGTTAGGAGTTGTAAGGGATCTCTGAAGATCACCCAGTCCAATCCCTGCCA